TCTCTCTCTCTCTCTCTCTCTCTCTCTCTCTTATTCACAATAATGTGTACAATATATGCAAAAATGTGTGTCAAAAGTGTTATATTTTTTGGTCGATATATTTAACTGTTATTCATTTGTGTGACTTTTTCACGATTTAACTAATTTTTGAATGACATTTTAGAGAGAGAGAGAGAGAGAGATAACAATTTTGAAATATAAATATACAAATTTTTACATTATTTGGGTTATGATTATAATCGTAGAGATGTTTTTGTCCAAAAATTCAGATTATTTTCAGTTTACAAAACGTTTTTTAAATGAATATATGAGCAAAAAACACTTTACAATAGAATATACAAAATTTAATTAGATTGTTGTTTTACCAGTTTATTAAATCAGGTGATTGTTTATTCAGTGTATATAAAATTTCTTTATACATTAAATATACGCATAAATTAACGTTAGTTTACGAGTGGTTTAAAAAACGTGAAAATCTCACATACATTACAAACAATATTAACTATAAACTACATAAACTATAACAGACTAAATACTAGTTAAAATAAATCAAAATCTATCACCATAATCATAAAACTAATGCAATATGACCATGCACATTTACACAGCAATTACAACTAGAGCCCGACACCGAGGCCTACAAACTGTGGAAAGACATCCCTTTACCCATATATCAAAAGTTTTACTTTTTTAACGTCACGAATGGGGCGGACATCGAGCGTATGGGCGCCAAACCGGTGTTGGTCGAGATGGGACCGTACGTGTACGCCAGCAAATGGCGCAAAAAGCACCTTGTTCATCACGACAACGGCACCGTCTCCTACCGGGAGCACAAAGTCTACCACTTTGTGCCTGAGATGAGTGTCGGCAACGACACCGACATTGTAACCTCACTAAACGGTCCGCTGGCCGTAACGCTAAGCCTATTACAAAACGCTCCGTCGGCCGTACGGGTTGTGGTGGGTCTGGCGCTGGACGCCGTCACAGAGGGTTTCTTCATCCGCCGCTCAGTCCGACAGCTGCTCTTCGAGGGCTATCCCGATGTGTTGACCACTTTCGGACCCCTATTGAACCCGAAGATACCCAGCAATAACAACGGCCGGTTCGGGTGGCTCTACCACCGAAACAACACCGACGAGGGTGTGTTCACTGTGCACACCGGCGCCGAGGGTATGGATCAGCTCAATGTAATTGATTCGTTTCGGGGCAAAACGCGACTCGACTACTGGCGCAACGGCTCCGACTGTAACTCAATCGACGGCTCGACAAACGCCCAGATGTTTCCGCCGCCGGGAGAGGACACCTCCCGGAGTCTGTACTTATTTCACCCGGACTTCTGTCGGCGTTGGAAACTGAACTTCAAGACACGGCACTCGAAACGGGGAATACCGGTCTATCGGTACGTACCGGACGACAGTCTATTCAAAAACGCCGACGACTACCCGCCCAACTCGTGTTACATCAGTCGACTGCCGGCCACAGCCAACCCATCGCTGTTGGGCATCGGCCGGTCGCAGACCAACTACTCGAAGCACCAACGTAAAATACGTTTTGTATCAGGGGTGTTCGATATGAGCGCCTGCAAGTACGGCGCGCCGGTACTCATGTCGTACCCGCACTTTCTGGGCGGTGACCCCATCTATACCCGTGCTGTACAGGGACTCAAACCAGACGCCCGGCGCCACGCTTTCTACCTGGACGTGGAGCCGACCACCGGGTCGAGCATGGGTTCGGCCGCCCGCGTTCAGATCAACGTGTTCATTAACAAACCACCTGGCTTGTTTCGCTATAGAAATGTGCCCGAGATTGTTTTCCCCGTTTTCTGGCAAGAGATGGGCGCCAATGTGTCGGCAGCGATGGCTGAGCGCATGCAATGGGCGCTCCGACAGCCGACCCTTATCTCTGCCGTGTCCTCCGTTTCAATGCTATTCATTGGCTTTCTATTGGTTTTCGCTTCGCTTTTGTTTCCGTTTTATAATTATTATCTCAAACACAGCGGCCGTAAAAAAGAGACCGGAAGTGTTGTCTACACCGATAAGTGCAACGCCAATAATACTCAGGTAATTAATTATTACTGTCTATTGTGTGTTAATTTGTCATTGTTGTTTTTTGTGCTATTTATTACTGTGTTGTGTGCTTTTATTATGTGAGCGATTTTTAATTATGGTTTTTTTAATCATTTTTTAATAGCTATTAATTTATGTACTTTTTTCGTGTAGTAATTGCTATTCAGATAGTGTTTGTGTTTATGTGAGAAATGAAAGTTTGATTTTGTTTTTATAAATAAGGAAAAGTTTGCGTTAAAATGAAAAGTTTATCAAACTTTTTAAGTACACTATTATTATTAAATTAAATTTTTTTAAAATTTGTTTGTATCCCAGTCCCAGACTTTATGATTATTATGTTTATAATATATATTTGCTTTTTAAATAATAATTTTGTAATTTATTTCTAATGTCTTTGTTTGTGATTGTGGTATAGATGGATAAGATAATGTCGGCAACGGATCCAAATGCACCGCCGATTGATGAACAGGGAGTCGATAACAAAGCCATGGATCCAAACTAATGCCCAAACAATGACATGATTTTTCTGTGATATTTCTGTGTATTTAAAAGTTGTTTTTTAATTTTTAATTTGTAAAATGAAAAAACATATAAACATGTATACAGTACAGTACTTTTAAATAAATAGGTATTTAATTAAATATTTATCTCAAACATAAGTGACTGACTTATCCTTTGTTAAGTCATATCAATCGTGTTTTTAAGATCAATATTTATTTATAAATAATTTTTAATTAAGTAATTATTAAATTCTTGTCAAATACATTATAAAGTGCTCTACATTTTTGTCTCAATTCATTAAACAATTTATATTTTGTTTAAAACATACAAACTTCACATAAGCGTGAAATTTGTAGACCATTGCCATATCATTACAATTATAATAATTATTTGCAAATATTTTAATAAATTTCATTATAATTCTTGAAAGAAATAAAGTTTGTGTCTATTTTTTGCTCAAATGTTATTATTAAAGTAAATTACGTAAAACTAATTAAATATTTAATGAATATTATTGTAATCTATAAATATTTTCAAATACAATACTTGTTTAACAAATAAAACTTAATAAAATTTTGTAAATAATAAAATATTAGCAAATAACTTCAGATAATAATTAAATATTACATTTATTAAAAATTTTATAACATTTTTTGGTGATTTTAAAGAACTGTTTTATAAGTTATAAATTATAAAATATAAATTATAACTGTTTCTACGAAAAATCGATCTCTTTTTTATATTAATGTTTTTATTATGCATTTTATTAAACATTTTATAGAGATATAAATCATAATTATTTAAATTTAAAATAAACATTTCAGTTAATAAATGAAATGTGACAACTTTTACCAGGAACATAAAATTTAAAATCAACACATTAGCACGTTTGAATAATAAAGTGCACAACTGTTTTATATTTTTAAACAAACAACAAGTTTATTCTAAAGTTAACTTAATTATAGATTAAATCGTTGAATTAAATGATAACAAAGCTTGCGATCACATAAATAATTGCATTGAAAATTGACATTTATGAAACTTCTAGTTAATTATGATATTTTTAAAATTATAATCACTATTTCATGTCATTTACAATACATTCACACAATTGATATCAATAGACTTTTAGCCATAAATGAAAATTCAATTAAAATAAAAACTACTTGTTTACTTTACGACTGTATTGATAACTACCATGAAGTTAAATCTCTCTTTCTCTCTCTCTCTCTCTCTCTCACTCTCTCTATCTCTCTCTCTCTCTCTCTCTCTCTTCGTTCAATACTATTGATATTTAGACATATTTCTTATCAATAAATTTATATACTTAATGATAACACCGAAGAGTATTGAATGGAAAAACAGGTTTAAACAGCTATTCATTTGCCACACGATAGATAAGTCCCATTGAAATGCACTGTGAAAGTCAATGTTCAGCGCAAAAACACAATCGTTATTATAATTACGTTATTTTTACAAACAATTATGGCTTAAATTATTGTGTGATTGAAATTTAAGTGATTAAATCATTTTTCAATTAATTTCACTCAATGACAATAGTATTATTAACACAATAGTTTCATTAACACTAGTTACATATATTTAATTAATTTAAACTTTATACATTTATACGTATAACCTAATATGCATAATAAATCAATCATCATCATCGCAATATTGTGTGCAATAAACATATCATGGTGCTTAACGCAAAAACTTCAATACCCCATATGTAAGCGCATGGTTACTATGCCATTATAATACAAACCACATTTTAATTTACATATATATTTACAAACACATGAAAATAGCAATTATTAATTACATAAATATATTTATAACACTTCCCGGTGTAGACTATGCCGAAGACATATGCAACGAGACTATTACCATGGGTACAGAACCGGGCAACAGTTCATTCGTGGTAAAACTGACCAAAAACAGCCAGAGCAAATTGATCACATATTGTATGGTAGCCGTACGGCTGTCCACCGGCACTGACCATAGGGTTCACGTCAACACCAAACACGTGATCGACGCCTACAAGAAAATTAATGCCAACAGTCGTAACACAATTACGGTCACGGAATTGAGTGATGGCCGGCACGTGGACATCGAGTTCAATGGCCTAGGTGATGATATTGAACTAGTGGTCACTACGTATCTAGGTATGTTACCATAGACATAGTCATATCAACATGGTTATTTACAATTATTTGTGTTGTACATATGCAAGTTTTCATTTTGCTTTAAATTTAGTTTACTTTTAATTTAAAACTTTTTATAAAGTGTTGTAAGTTTATAAAATTTTAAATATTTTTTATAAATTTGTTGATTTTGTATACTATATGAGTTTAAGTGGGAGTTTGTGTCCATTTTATAATGAATTAATAGACAAATAGATTTATTTTGTTGATAAAAATCGGCTGACATTTGATTGATTAATAAGTAGTGAATTTGTTAAGTGAAGTGAATTTGAAGTCAAGTGCCTTAAAATACATACAAAACATAACACATTATAATTCAATTATTCAATCATTAGTGCCATAAATAGTTTATTTTTAGTGCAAAAACAAGCATTTTTGGGCATTTTATCATGTTTTTTGTAAAGACAAAATACTTGATGACATCATATAATCAATCATTTATTAATGAAAATCTTATTTATTTTATTAAACAAATACCAAAATCTATTATACATTGCATGACAACAGCGATCGACAAGAATTTGAACAATTTGTGAATAAATATTTTTAAATACAATTTATAGTGTCTAAGAATGTCCCGGCTAAACAACCCTATGCTGTTTTATATAAAACAAGTACATTTGTAACTGTTTTAATGCTGTCACTTTAAACATGATAGATTATGTTACTGCTATTTAACAAGTTTGTTTTGTTCAACATTTTACTAGTGAAACACTATTTTAACCGTAATTCAATAGATGTCATACAAGAAGTCTATGGCGAAAACAAGTGTCCCTTTATTTAGTGTAAATTTTAGTTAATAGCAAAAATAGCAAAAATTTATGTCAAATTATAAAATAAATTTGTGATTAAAAAACGAGATTTAAATGCCATAACGTCTTGAAAATGAAAATATAATTATAAATGCATGACATATACAAATGTTTGTCCAAATTTGTCTTTGTTTAATGTGTTTTTCGTCAGTGATATATACCGTATAAAATAGATAAATTGAAAAGTTAACCCACGCTCAATTTTGTGATGGCATATATACCTATAAAACACACTCACAATCATGTATATAGTGTGCAAAATTTTAAAAACAAATTTCAGCATATTCTGTGCATAGTTTAATAGTAAATAATTTTTTATATTTGTTTTCTTGTCTGTATTTTTTGTGCCTCAAAGACAGCTCTTCACGAAACTGACGGAAACACATAACATATCAATATTACTATTTATAAATAAAGTTCATATATCAAAGTATCATAAGGAATATTCTTTATACATACAATATGCTTGTGTGAGATTTTATTTTTATTAAATATCATTTTATGGCACAGAATATTCTTGCAGTGCATGTGTACTGACGCGTGAGAGATGTTGTTTTTCAATGTTAAATGTTATTCAGTATAACTTATTTTTGTTATTAAGCTAACTGCCCGAACTATTTATGTATATCCGATTACACCATGTAGTAATTTTATGCAATTATTTTTTTTAATGCATGAACATCACATTTAAATCAATTAATTTTTTATAAACATTTCTAGATAGGCATTACTATAAATTATAAATGCTGTTATATTTTATTTTTGTGAATCCAAACAGAAATCGATGATGATGAAAAGTGCCCAAAACACTACTTTCTATGCGATATAAACAAATGCATTCACGAAATATATCGCTGCGATTCCTATGTTAACTGTCTGTCCGACGAAAGTGACATCGAGTGCGCATATGGTTAGCCTACTTTCACATACACCTGTGCCCCCTTCCCATTGTATAACATGTAAATTAATTAACCTTTTATTAACAGATATCACCCCGAACGAAACCATGTTGATCACGATCATTTTAGCCATTGTTGGCTCACTGTTTGGCACCACGTGTTTACTCTCGAGTTACCTGTATTTGACGTATTATAGGAAACGGGAATCACTTTTGGACAGTAAACAGCTTAACTACGGCACCATCAATAACAGTCTGTCCCCCGTCCAGTCCTGTCAACACTCTTTCACTATAATTAAATAATTTATATATTGTTTTAAATATTTGTAACACTTAACAAGGTTATTTTTATTTGTGTAATTAATTATTTAATCGTAAAATATTTTTATATTCATGCAATTTTGATAAACAACGGACCGCTGGTCACGCAATCATACACAACATTTACAATATTACTGACACTATTGTATATTATTTTATATTAAGTATATCAAATAATTATTTTACTTTAACTAGATACATAAATACAATAATAATTATTATACAGTAATGTGCCAATAATTTATTATTTGTGCCAAACTATTTGTTTCCATATATTTAGTACAAAAACAAAATCACAAGATTTATATTGAGATAAATAAATAACGGGAAATATTTTTGTTGAATAATTAATTGCTTATAAATCCAATGCAGAAATACTGAATGTTTCAAAGCATTTATCTTATAATTAAATGACAATTTTATTGAGATATTTACGTGTAATTTGAGCGGAATTTCTCGGAATATTTTTCAATTATTCTGTAATTATATAATTTTGTAATATAAGTAATGCACAGAATATTACTGTAGAAGAATTAAATAATAAAAATAATATAAAATACTACTCACAAGGAATATGTGAATAACAAAAATATATATTTGTATATATAATTTGCCATTACTTATTATATAAAATCTGTATTATAATTTATAAATAGACCCAGAGGCAAATAGTTTTACCAAGATGTAAAATATTTAAAACTTTATAAGTCATACTACAGAATGCAACGTAAATAGTGATTTACCGTAAAACAAATACAAATGTCAATTACAATAAATAAAACTGGTTAATTTCTAGACAAATATTTGTTTTTGAATATTGAATCAAAACAACATAAAAATGTCATAAGCTATTAAATTATTATTTCATTTCTCACATGAATTAATCACAAGAATATTCTTATTGTTTGCAACAAAAATATGTATACATTTGAAAATATTTGTGTTTTTCTCGCCGATTCTGTTGACACAAATAAACACTCAATTGTTGTCAATCATTGTATATCAAGAATATGTCGTAAATATTTTATGATAATTATTTCGACAAATAAATAAAATTTTATTTTTAAAACTTTATATATTTTTCTGTTTATTTGATTTTCTGGTTGAATACTACAAAAGCAGTACTCATTTGACATTTATATCTCAATCGACAATTTATTTTTCTCATATGTTTTTTACACTTATTTATAGTGATATTAATAGTAATAATAATAATATCACTAAATAAACACAGAATATTCTGTATATTAAATGAAAATAATATTATTCTCTCGCGTCAATAATTATATATATTTAGTGATCTTTTGAGAAATACTTTTTCTATGTAACAATAATATGTTTATTTGCAATTAAAATATTTGTAAAATACGTCAAAGAATATGATAAAAATATATATAATATCAGCAGGCATAATTTACACTAGAGTACACCCAGCATAAAACCCTTGTGTTGTAATTTATAGACTATTCATATGTTAGTCACATATAGTGTACTCTAATATAAAGTCTATACTTTAAAAACACCTTAATGATTCAATAACCACGTCATATTATTAATGGTCCCTATTTTATTCTGCCGAGTTATAATATATAAATTATTAGCATTACTCGGAAAAACATTTAGAAGAATTTAATCTTTAATTTCCGATTTATTATCAATAAATTATTGTTTTTGTTGTAAAACAAATAAATACACAAATATTACCAAGAATTCTGTGCCTATAAACAAGAAAACAATTTTGTTTTTATGTTTATCTACAAAAAAAATTATGTGTCAATCGGATTGAAGAGCTTAATAAATCCTTTAACAGATATACAAAACATATGTAGGAAATAGTGAAACGCACAGAATATTCTGTGTGTTAGCGATGCCCTGGAAACCAGTCGCTAACGTCATTGACATTGAAAATTGCACAGAATATTCTGGTGCGCAAAACAAGGATACTCTTATGAATTGTGAATTATTTTATATACATTTTATACCAAAAAACAATGATTTAATGCATATATAATTGATTGGGAATTAAACATCCGTTATGTTTAACGTCTGGTTTGTCTCTAAGATTATTATTTCTGATAATAATATTATTAATTCTTGAATCGAGAGAAACAATTCCGAGAATTATTTACACATTTTATCCGTACGATTGTGTTAAACGAATAATAGATTCTGTGATATATTCTGTAGATTTACCTGAAAAAAGTAACAAAACACGTGTTGTTTGCCTTTTTCCAAGAGATCCTTTCAATTACAACAAAAAATTCAAATTTTTATTTCAAACAAGTATTCAATTGAATTTCTAATACAATAAGATTTGCACATTTAATACAGGTTTTTGGAAACAACAGGTAAACCAATGTACAGCATATAATGTACAGAATATTCTGTTGTTGTCAATGCCATTAAATACAGTGTTCACTGCCAAATACAAATTCATTACACATAGATGAAAGAAATAATTGCATAAATATTATTGCCCATATAATCAAATATTCAGTGATCGTGAAATTACCAGATGCGTTTCCCATTAACCCAATGCTGAGTTGTATATTGAGTTTTATTTGTATAATACCTGTGCTCTCTTTAGGGTATATATACTGTACATACAGTAATAGTGATATAATACTGTGTAACGGAAATCATCGCCAAAATCTAATGCTAATAAATGTGGCACTAGTTTAGATAGTTGTTACCAATCCTGTTGTGTGGGTATTATATGAGTGAGTGAGTGAGAGAGAGAGAGAGAGAGAGAGAGAGAGAGAGCTTAACATTTAACTATTATAAGAGAGAAGTTGTGTGGAAAATGTGTTGTGCATATGGTTGGGACAAAAGGCACTGGGATTGTGGGTCAGGCCAGGCATAGGGATCCCATAATATTTCACTCTTGCTGTCCCTCTCCATAGCTGTCCACCCTTTCCCTCATCCCATACACTATGTATAACGAGCGTAACAACAGGTCGGCCACTAAATGATGGTAAAGAACTGGTGTTAAAATGTATGATTAATTTTGATAATCGATTTGCTAATGGATTGTTTGCAATGACATTGATTTTTTACCATTAAGTGATTGAAAACTATAGTATAGAAAGTGTGTGATTTTGTCGGGTGCTGTTGTTTACGGAACACATACATCTATATCACGGGGCACTTTGTCTAATAACTTATTGCTAATAAGCATATAATATATACCTGTATACATATTTATAATAATATCATGATCAATTAATCGATGCGCATACTTAACAATGTTAAGTTAACATACAGTAGATATGTTTTTACTATATCTCTGGTTATACACCGATGTATTCATTAGGGCATAGAATTTGGTTTTATATAAATTTTCAATGCTTTTTAAAATATGAGATCTTTTTTATGTGACTTTCTTTTGGCTGACTTTTATTTTAATTAAATTTTCACTCTTTTTTGATGGCAATTATTTTTGTGTCACTCTTTGACATTTGGTTTGTACAAGTGTTTCGCACATTATTATTATTGTTGTTGTAAGGCATATAATGCACATCAGTATTAGCACAATCCTTTATCTCTCTCTCTCTCTCTCTCTCTCTCTCTCTCTCTCTCTC